CTTCCTTGTAGGCTACCCGGTATGTGCTATGCACTATCCTCCAATATAGGTCCTTCAATACTTTCCCTGGGTGCTGCTTTTTCCAATTCATATACACATGTCTAGCACAATTTCTGTGCTCAGCATGTGGTGGGAGTTCTTTGATAGCTGCAATAAGTCCCTACAAGTAGAAAATAGGACATAAATTACAATTCTAACACTGAAACATGAAGTGTCCAAACCTGAAACATGAAGTGTTACAATATAAATTAAACTAGAAAATAAACACAGAACATAGAAGTGTACTAACCTTCTGTTGGTCACTAATGAATGTCCAACCCAAACCATCCTCTATTCTAAGCTCTTGAAACAGTATGGTTAAGAACCACCTCCAGTTATTTTCATTCTCTGAGTCAGCCACAGCCCAAGCCAAAGGATATATTTGGTTGTTCCCATCTTTTCCAATTGCACACAACAGCACACCTCCTAGAAATGTCTTTAGAAAACAACCATCAAATCCAATTATTGGCCTACATCCTGGCAGAAACCCTTCCCTCAAAGCACTGAAGCCAACAAAGAAAGCCTTGAAAACATGTCCTTCTTCTAATAACAGTTCAAATCTCCCATTTCTATCCACCCTCTGCAGCTCAGCAATATAGTTTCTGAGGCACCCATAATGTTCTGATTCAGAGCCTCTTAGCATCTCAAGAGCTTTGTATTTCCCTCTGTACAACTTCCATTTGGATGGTTGTACTCCAAACTTGTCCATAATAAGGTCCTGCATATCTGAGGCCTTTATACTAGGCTGTTTCCTGAACTTTTCCAAATACTCATTTGCTACCCACTGAGAAGTTGCTTGTCTGGTCCTAATGTCCCTAAAGCATTGATGCTCTGACACCAATCTTTTGATGGCAACTCTACCCTCAGATTGTACCAAACTGCCATACAATCTCCATGGACAACTATCAATACATCTTGCTTCAACTTGCTTTTGACTGGTTCTCATGAACTGAATGTTACACCCATTGTGTATTGCACTTTTTTAAATTGCAGTTTTCAATTGCATTACACTGTCAAACCTCATACCAAACACAAACTGTAAAGTACTGTGATCACACTTAGGGTCATAGACTACTAACTTCTTCTTCATAGACACCCCAGCAGAATCATCTTCAACCTGTCCATGTTCAGAAATAGGTGAATCAGTGTTCACTGAACCATCAGAATTTTCATAATCTGACTCCAAGTCTCTAACAACTGAACTTTCCTTAATAACTTCAGCATTTTTGGATTTCTTAGACATTATTCTATCCCTCCTTGCAGCAAGATATTCATCATCATCTGTCCCCAAATTATCATCAGAGAGTTCATCCTCACTAGAATAATCAGACTCATCATTAGATGGAACATAATCATCATCATTTGAGCATTGTTCAACATCATTCAAATTTTCATCCTCTGGAGGGATTGCAGCACCTTGTAATGTACCGTGTGTTGCACATTCAGTTGACTGTCTATTCTGTGCAATTGACTCTTCATGATGTGAACATTCATACACATAAACAAGCTTTTGCGAAGAAGGTAACTGCTTTAGCATCTCCATGACCCCAGTGTCATCATGTATTTCTTTGTACTCATTTGTATCTGGAATCTTGTAGAAAATCTTCTTCCAATCTTTACAACCCAACTTGTCAATTTCTTCCACCAGATCAAAAAAACCAAATCTATCCAAGTCCAGTCCATGAACTAAGTGAATATTATCACCAAAGAAATCCAAAAAGCCATCAATATTAATCATGTACCCTCCGTAGTTGAAATAGATTGCAAAAGTATGACTGCAACATTATGAAGAAGAAGAAAAGACATGTCACAGAGCATCCTAATTAAATTCGTGATTTAACTCGAAATAATAACCATGGTTCAACAAATCCAAACAAATGACAATTACTAAATCCTTCGCGTTTCTCATATTATGGAGATGAGCTCGAAATAAAAATAAAAAAATACACAGAGATGAGCATTCCCATCATATTCAGTTTCAAAAATAATAGATGGGGATGAGGTCTACTTGTTGTCCATTAAACATGAAATTTATTCTCAAATGGGGCTTTGCCAATCTTTCAAGTCTGCAACGGCAGGTGCGTTCGAAGATTTGAAATGAGAATAGAAATTAGAGATTTTGGGATTTAGAAGGGAGATTCAGACGACATTGTTGCAGAATAATGGAGAAGGAATTTTGAGTTCTGAGAAGAGAAAGGAAATTAGGGTTGCGTGAAATGAAAAAATTTGGGAACGAACTGAAATTAAATGGACAGTCGAACGACGTCGTTTAGTCCACCATCGCCATATCAATGAGACACCATCGCCACGTCAACGCGTCGACCCTTCCGTCAGTTCCAAGTCAGCATTCTGTGAACAGAACCATCAGTCGTGGTACGTTTTGCAAAAAAAGTATAAGGTAGTGATTAAACTGCCAATTTGCAAAGGTGGTGATTAAAATGCAAAACGATGAAAGGTCGTGTATTAAGTTGCAATTTAGCCTTTGTGAAAAACCAAAAGGCTTGCTTGGAATGAACCCCATTCGTACAGATTTTGTGGAAAAACTCTTCTCTTGATATTACATTTGCCTATGTGAAATCCCAATTCAGAAAAATTTTCATGTTGAGAAAACCATGGATTAAATTTCTTATTGAAATCTTGAACCGAAAACCGACCTTGACCCTGACTAGGTGTAGCCATGAAGTGGTGGTCAAGCATGTACGCCCATGTTGGTAGACAAAAGGCTTGTGCACGGCCGATCGTTGACTCACACGCAAGCTGCAGCTGCCATCACCAGACACAAAGAATTCCCAGGCCAGCGTGATCGGCTAAACCTTGACCTTGTGGCTGGTTTCCGAATAGGTTCACGTGAGCGTCCTGGCGCCCCGCATATGCAGCTCCTGCGAGCGTGTCGCCTTTCGGAGGATAGTGCATTAACAACTCAAACGTCCAATATATTTTTCTTTGGGACGGTTTGACCACCGAGAGTACCAAGTTCCACTGTACCGTGTTTGCATCCATGATCGATAGTGTTGATGAGGAAGCGTGACCGATAGGTTTCCTATGCCTATACGAGGATTCCTCGAGATGGCGAGATAGGGGATTTGTGTTGTCAGCAAACGGAGCCATGAGGGGATACGTTTGTATCGCAGAATCATGTGTTGTGAGTATGAGTATAGCGAGGCTATATTGCGTGCATGGTTGCACATTTACCGTGACAATTGCTTCGGCAATAAGTCACGAGTGTGTCGAGATTGTGGGTAAGTTTTTGGCGTGACCCGGGCACCATGCTGAAACTCAACTCCACGTGTCGACCATGATTGTTGACCGATGATCTCACGGTCGAGGCACTATGAGACCTGTTGAGGTCGTGTGTGTGCATGTTGTGTGTTGCGTTTTACGATTTCTCACCAAGTCTGGGCGTTTTGTGTTTTTATGTATCGAACGTGTATCTGGATGGTACCATTCGAGTTTCCCCTTTCATATGACTAGAGGTGTGATATACCTTGGGTTGGGGTAAACGAGGATCCGCTATTGTGTGCGGTTAGTCCTTTGAGATCCTTATTCAAGTCAGTGACTTGGCTTATCGGCTAGCTTTATCACCAGATTTGTCAGGGGTGCATAAGGTGTTTCATGTCTCGATGTTGTGTAGATATGTACATGACCCGGACTACATGGTGGACTTCGGCGAACTGCGGGTTGAGCTAAACCTTACCTATGAGAAGGTACCGGTGGCCATTTTGGACCTGGGTGTCTATCGGCTGAGGAACCGGGCAGTGAGCTTTGGGAAGGTGCTGTGGGGCCGATATGACGAGTCCGAGACGACTTGAGGGAAGGATACCGAGATTATGGGAAGATTCCCTAACTTATTGTTGGAGGTTTGCTTATTCTGTTAGTTTGTTAGTTTCTTTTGTCTTTGAATTCCGAGGTCGGAATTCCTTTTAAGGTGGGTAGATTTTGTAGCGCCCCATTTGTTCCAAATTATTTCGGAATTCATTTATTTATTTTATTATTATATTTTATTTATTTCGCGCTCGATTATTATTTTTAATTCGATTTCATGCTCGAAATTGTCTAATTATTTTAGTTGCTTAATATTATTATAAATAATTGTGTAGTATATATATATATATGTTATCTGGTTGTCTTATTTTATATGTCGTGCCCGTGCGATTGAACCAAGCTCTAGCATTTTTTTTATTATTCAAATTTCATAGGTGAAGGATTATTTTGGAGTGAATTTGACCAGCCCTTAAGGGCCTTGACTCATCCGTTTCCTTCCCATAAATTAGGCCATTAGGTGTGTTAATTTTAGAAATAACATCACATTTACTAAGAATTTCCGTAACATAAACTCTCCCTCACATCTTTCATATTCATGCACAATGAAAAACCAAAACTTTTGAGTTTAGTAACCCCAAAGTTGAAACCTTTTTACCTTGACAATGAATCATATATATATCTTCCTGTTTGGTGACCTGGTGTGAATAGCTATAAGACCTTGTTAACAAGGCAAATAAAATTCGAAATCTTGAGTGGAGATTTTAGCTCACATCTTAATGTGTTGATTCTTTCCAATATTAAGAGCCTATTATTTTTATTTCATTATTTTTCTAGCTAAAACCCGAACCAGAGCCACAGAAATCATATTTGGCCTTAGCAAATTTTTTTAGAAATTCTATATCCATGCCTCTCGCTATTATTCATCACCAGTTCGCGTCGCGAGCCACTACAACCATAGTTTCGGCATCCCCATGGTTCCGGCAACCTTCACCCGCTGCCGCTCGATATTGGAGCTCCTTCACAGTGCCCCTCCATCGCTGCTCTCTTACCGTCATGCCAGCAACCAAGCAATCCGGCAAGTTCTCCTTTCCGCAGTATCCGTCGTCCGCGCACGAGCATCACCGGCAACAAACCACCGCATCCTGCTCGTCGCCGTACATCACCGAGCTTAGCCACCAGCCGTCGTCGAGGTCAGCGACGCCCTCGGTTCGCGAGCAGCATCTTTCGAGAAGTTTCGAGTCCCGTTTGCTCGGTCATTCGGCCTGTTTGTCCGGAGTCTGTCGTCCGACCCGCTGTCCGGCCCGTTTTCCGTTCGATAACTCGTAGTTTCCCGAAGTCGGGTAACTTATTCGAATTCTCTTGTTAATATGGTCGTTCTCATATATCGCATGTTAGATATATATACATCGATCGTGCTATCGAATCCTTGTTTGAAGTCGATTTATATCTGTTTGAAACGAATTTGAAAAATCTATTTTTAAGCTGTGGCTGACATCTGTTCGAGGCAGTTTTTGACCTCTGAATCTCGATTTCATGTGTTCGATTTCTTCTGAAGAAATGTAGTTCAACTCCTTAGGTTTCATGTAGAGTAAGAATCGCGTGATTATCATTTTTGTGCTTAAAGTTATAGCCGATATACGACGAGTGCGCGTTCAGTTTTTGGTTTTCATTGTTGAAGCAGTGGTTCCTTCTGATTTGCTGTGTTTGACATATTTCCCAATACCTGGAGAGGTTGATGCCTTCAGATGAAATGTAGTTTGTTCGGTTGTCTATATCTGGGCTTTGGAAATTTGTAATTCCGATTTGAAACGAATAAGTTATGATTTTTACAAAATTGTCGCGCAAGCAGATTTTCTAATACCCGTCAGCATGCGATTCTCTAATGTTTGGCCTTTTTATCGTATCATAATGTGCTCGTATGAACAAATACTCATCAGAAAAGTTATAGGCCTGTTTCTTATCTTTCAAATGAGATAAATTTCATGTTGATATGTACTCTATAGCTTGAGTTGTGTTCTTATGAAGGTAGACATGCATGAGATAGAGTTAGGTACTTGGACATAAATCTGACATTAACTGATTTTAAATTATCTTAATAACCTTATATGCTTATGTGTTTTAAATAAAAATTGTAGGTGCATGCCGTAGGCTTAATTTGAAATTTAAATCATGTCCATATAAATTTTGTGCTGATAGTTATGTCGATTTTAAAAACGCTGCCCAGGTTAAGTTTTGAAAAATGTATGTGGTGTTTTCAAAAAGGGGAGTTCCTTAATTAAATGTTTATGTAAGCTTAGTTGGACTAAGTGATTGTTATGATTAGTTGGTCATGTGTTGAATAGTCATTTATAGGACTATTTTATTAAATGTAGGTATTTGACGAGCCGAGCTCGCTGCCTACTCGTGTTAATGTATCTATCGCTTCGGTAACCAGGTGGGTGTTGATAAACCTTACCATGTATGTTAATTTCTATAAATGCTTGGCTTGATAATCAATGTATGCATGTGAACCGATAGTCTATGAGGCCTAACTCTAGCCTTTAGAGAGCTGACTCCGCGATGGTGTATCGACGGTTTGCTCCTGTCTTTGTTGTATTGACAGTTGCTCCTGTCTTTGTTGTATTGACAGGTAATCCGGTCTTTGTTGTATTGACGGATTAGGTGTGATCACATGAGCGTAGGCTGTGTTTAGGGAGGGTAGACTAGTCGATTTGTGTTCATGCCGCGATTATGATTTTAAGTCTTTATATTGATTATACTGCATGGTATTCCGACGGTGAGCAAGTGTTCGCTCACCCCCACTATTATATTTCTTTTTCAGGCTGAGTTGGTGGTTGTGGCGAAGGACGAGCAAGGCGGGTCATATATATATATGTGCTAATGAACTGTTTTACTTGCTTCCGCTTTTATGTAGTATCTATCTCTTGTTAGTGTGATTAATATTGTTTTTCTGAAAATTGAACCGTCTTTGGTTTTGGAATTTGAACTTGGGATTCAACAGTGTTATGACTATCAGATTATTTTTGAATATCGATTGAAGTACCTTGAATGTTAACATGAGATAAATTACGGCCGAGATAGTTGTTCCCTGTTTGTTAAGTATAATCTTAACTGTTGATATGTGTAGTGTTTGGAGTAGCGCCCGTTAAATAAATTTTTAAATTGATTTTCGAAAATTTAACTCTGATTTTTGGAAAAATAATTCGGTGTTTTTCTATTAAAATAATGGGGCGTTACACGAGATTACAACGATAAAGGACCATGTTGCCGCCTTGGACGCGCGTCTTCACGCTTTTGAGCAAGAAAGGGCCGTCGAGCCAAACCTTTCCGATCCACCGGACGAGACATCAATGGATACACGGTGATTACTCACCGTGTTGAGTACGCACTTACTTTTCTCTCTTTTCTCTTTCTATTGGTTTTATGTGTCTTATTGTTTTGTGTGTTTCTCTTCTTTTTCGTTGCGCCTTCACATGATTATTGTATGATTAATTGCTTTTCTCGTATGTTTTTATGAGTATGCAATGCGGACATTGCTTTGTTTGAAGTGTGGGGGAGGAATTTTGTTGATTATGCATTGATTATGTGGTGGAGCGATTTTATCTTGTGTTTTTCTATTCTTAGTTTGAGTAGTATTGTAAACCGGTTTTTGCTTTAGGGTTATTTTGTGTTTTTATCAACTCTCCCATATGAAGTTTTGAGTTTGGTCAATATGATTAACTTCTTGATTGGATAACCGTGTTTACTTCATTTTGAGATGTCTTACTTTATGCTTTACGAGGAGTTAAACCCCAATTATTCTAAGTTGATTGAAGATTTGTTGATGTGAAACACATGATTGAGAGTTACGGTTTTGTTTTGTCCTTGGTAAATCCCGATTGATTACGCTTTGAACTTGTCTTCTTGGAGGATTCATATGTAGAAGCTTGTGTGAGTAGTTATTCTCGTTACTTGCACGCTGTGAAGGTTTGAGTTGATTGTATATTGATGATATTCACGTCGTTGTGTTACCCCCCTATATATATAAAAAAAATAAAACATTATTGTGAGTTCGCGGGGAAGTACGGATTAGGCTCCTCTTATTCTAAGACACCTCGTGGATTGGGATAATGATCCCGGGAAACCAGTTTAGGAAACTCGAGGAAACCCCTCGAGGTTAAACCTAGATCACCTCGTCCGGAAACTTTGTTTGAAAAAAGAAACTCACGGAGATGAGTTCATGAGATGTCGAAAGGATTAGGCTCCTCTTGGCTCGGTTATTCTTGATAAACCGGGTTAAGGAGTGCGGGAAACCGACCTAGGAAACTCGGGGACACACCCCGAGGATAAACCTAGGTAATAATTGTCCTAACGGCTCTCGTTTGGAAAAATAGGCTCATATATATATAAAACAAAAGTAATGAATAAAAGGGGGAAACTTGTTTTTATGCCTTTGATCCTATGGTTCATTTGATGAGTTGGAATAGTCGTCCTTTGATCTTGTTGAGAATTTGTCTTTGGGTCTGAGAGTATTCTTTGTAGCATGAGTAGTGTTGTAAAAGATGACTTGTGATGAGTTGATCATATGTGGATGAACCTTGGACGTGTGCTTATTTTTGTATGATTCGAGATTGTGGGGTACATATTTTCAAATTGAATGTCGACTATAAGGATGCCGGGGTAAAATGAGTTTGGCATGTTTTGAGACGTGATAAATGAATGGACAAATATATTTTCTCGAAGGGTTAATGATATTGTTTGCTTGAGGACAAGCAAAGAACTAAGTGTGGGGGAGTTGTTTGTTATATTTTTGTGTGTTTTATTGTGTTTTTATTTGCTTGAGTCGAGTGTTTTAGGTTCCGTTTGTGCGTTCTGGTCCATTTTGTGTTCGTTTTTATTAGTTTTGCGTTTTTTAGTCGTTTTCGTATTTTTCTCTATTTCTTGTGTGCGATTTGGTGTTTTGTAGGTTTGGAAGGAAAGAATTGTCGTTCCGTGATATGCCGTCCCGAATGCTTAGTCGTGAACGTTCGTTGTTGAAATCGGAATGTCATTTTATAAAGTCAAGGTTCCAAGGTGATCGGGGAATAGCGCGATGAGATGGAGTTTTGGAAGTCGAACCATAATAACTCGGTTGAAAATTTCAGCCCCAGCTCTTAGCCTTGCAAATTCGCGCGCGCGAATTCGATTTCCGCGACTTAAGCTCATTTCGCTGGCTGGCAGCAAGAACAACAACAAAATTTTGAGCCTGTGAAAATATCCTTCTAGCCCGAAAACGCCTGTTAAGCTGCGAATTTCCTCCGCATGCAAGCTGCGAGTTTCCACACCATGCAGCCCGCGAATTCTCCTTAGCCTGCGAGTTCAGCAGCCCTATCCTGCGAAAAGCCATAGCCCGCGAGTTCCGTGCTTGCCCAAGTGACGCACCCCGCGAGTTTTGCGTGCCGCCTCACGCGAGTGCCCTCTCCAAAGCCCACGAGCTTCATGCAACCTGCGAGTTTTTGTTATTTAATGTGCGTTTTTAGTGTGTGTTATGTCTAGTAGTATAAATACATTTGATCATTTGTATTTTGGGGACCCAACTTTTATAATATCATTTTTCTTTTTTTGAACATTAGCTTAAGTCTTTTATTCTCTCTAGAGTAAGGTGGATGCTATTTACATTTTCCGGTGACTTTTTCCGGTGACTTCTCGTTTATGCAAGTTTTAATCTTTTTCTTCCGACTTCGATCAAGCATGCGTTAGGGATGTGAGTACTTATTTTTAAGCCTTGTGATCTTGATTTTCGTACTTACTTGCTATCTCGTGCGTAGAAGTAATTAGGGCTTGCTCGATTATTGGATTTTTAGTAGCTATTTTAGTTAATTTTCGTTTCCCTTGCTTTTGTGAGCTCGTTTATGATGCTTGGAGTTGATTGATTGATTGATTGCTATTAGAAAAATCGGGACTTGATATTTAGCTCGGTTATTTCGTGGTAGGATTTTGATTTTAGCTATCAAGCATGTTAAATGGAGTTTGATTCTCTTATTCTCGCTTTTCTTGCCCTTGGCTTTGTGCACCGATTTAGTTGCTAGAGTTTGTAGTATGTTACTTGCTCGTTGCTCGTTTAATTGCTTTCACTAGTCGTAATTAGTTTTAATCAACCTCAACGCAAATTGATTAGTATGTTTAGGACTTTATTTTCCATTTTTGTGATTTGAGCAATTGAATAGTGAGTAAAGCTCCGAATAGCCTTCCCTCGAGATCGACCCGAGTCGGGTAACTCGGTTATCCTTTGCCCATCAATTTTATACTAACAAAGGCCGGCTACGGTGGTAGAGCGGAACGCTGTGATGGTGGAATGGCCCATCGTGGTAGGGAAGCGGCCAGCCGCTGAGGTCGAG